ATTTCCAATAGGGTCTTCGCACCCTTTTGGGTGCTCGGACCCTAATAAACCTCATTCAGGACTTTCATGCTGCCAGATGTAGAAGAAAGAATATGTGCAAAATACTTGTTGGTATTAGTTATAGACTATTATATCATGTTAAATAAATTTTCAGATAAGTTGACGTATTTTTGGTTCCATAAGCATGACAAATGTTCCTCGTTTTATATTAAAAAAGAAATCTTATTCTTGTAAATTTTGTTGACTTTCTTCTATATTATATTTTCTATATATTTTTTTAAATTAAATTATATACACAAATACTCTGTGTTGTCTTTTTGCCTTGTTTACCCCCTTTATTGAATAGTCATGCTGTTGTAACACCTGAATTTCCCTCCCTGGGATTAATAAAGTCAGCCTAAGTCTATCTTCACAAAAAAAACAACACCTGTCACCTAAACCAAATAGCCTGGAGTCCAAAAGACCCCAAAAACCCTGAACAGGTCTAAACTCTGTTTCTAGGCTTCATGGATTCAATAATCGTGGGAAAAATTCAATTTTCTGAATTCAACAAATCCAAGCAGTCGAGTCTGACTTATAGCAGGAAACTACAGATGGACAACTTTTCTCAGTATGGGGATATTTTTAATGCCACCAACCTAATTAGTTGTTTGGTCTAATAAATGTCAAAAAATGGTTTCATTTACTACTACTATTTTTTTTTTAAGTCAATCACGGCCTAAGTTGACATCCTCAAATGTCTTGTTTTATCCACAACCTTAAGAAATTCAGATTACACAAAATAATAATAAAAACAACTGAGAATACTCACATTTAAGAAGCTGAAATCAGAGAATTTAGACCATTTTTTCTGGATGTTTTCCCCCTTAAGGATGATTAATCGATTATCACGGTAGCTGGTGATTAATTTAATAGTTGACAACTAACCGATTAATCGCCACAACACACACATTGCTCTGTTCACACCTGGTGGAAGGTAAGTTTAAGATCTCATGTGCTTTATAAGTATTAACAATCACTGTTTACTGGAATATATGAGTGGCTTTTGTAAATCTGTGTGTTAGTCTCGGGCTGAATGGGCTCAGAGGAGGAATCAGAGCCGCTGCTGCTGCTGCTGCTGCTGCTGATGGAGACAGTCAGGGGAGTTTCCCTGTTGACAGCAGCGGACCTGTCTGACACCAAGTTAGCCTGCCAGCTAGCTCGCTAGCTAGCTGCAACAACACTCACTGGTAAAACTGAGCTAACCATCCGTGCTCTTCAGATCTCCGCCATGGATTTGAACAACATCTTGTCGCAACTCGAAACCGCCAACGAGGAGGACGTGGAGAAGCTCTTGCAGCAGTATAACCGAGAGGTGAGTCGCCGCTTCGCTCGTTTTTCCTCGAACCAAAACAAACCGCGGTGCTAACGTTAGCTAGCTAGCTGCACGGCTAGCTCCGAGTTAGCTGCGCGTCTTTATGGCTTCCTGAGGGGAAAACGTTGCCTCTAAAGTCGTATCTAATACTGCATCGTTACACATGTGACCGTGAATCCGTGAATGAAGCGAACCGGGCCGTGCTACGTTGTTCACAGCACCGACGCAGAGCTGATAATGCTAACGCACCCTGCTCGCCCACCGCCGTTCCTGCTCATACAATTACACAGCAGTATTAGCAACTTTATGTGCCTCTTTAAAGCTCTCTTGGTCAAACTGTCTGAGGTTAATATCTCCTAGCTCCTGTTAAACATGTGTGTATGTGTCGTTTGAGGATGTTGTTTGGTTTCCACAATGAGCATCTTTTCTGTTTCAGAACATTCACACCTTCAGTTTTGACCAAAAGGAGGAAACCCTGCGGAGTGTGAGTAGCAGCTCACTCACAGGTTGTCATTAGAGGCTCAACAGAGTCCTGCTTTGTCATAACCACTGTCTGATTCATTGTGTGTCCGTGCAGAAGCTGTGTCAGAGTGTGCTGACAGTACTGGGGAGGCAGGTGCAGCCCAGCTGTCAGAAGACATGTCTGGAGACTCTCCGCATCCTGTCCAGAGACAAGCGTGTCCTCGCACCTGTAGCCACCAAGGAGGGCATGCTGATCCTGGGAGGGATGGCGAGGCTGCGTGCCGGAGAGGAGGAGGGAGACAACGAGAAAAGCTCTGAGGAACGCACACAGTTGGAGGAGGAGGAGGAGAGGGTGGTGGTGGAGGCCTTGAAGTGCCTATGCAACGTGGTGTACAACAGTCCTGCAGCTCAGCAGGTCAGCGTCGACGTGCAGCTGGCTCACGGCCTTTGTGCCAGCCTGCGCAGCGCCCGCACGTGGCACCACGAGGTGGGCCTGTTCACGCTGCGCCTCCTCTTCCTGCTGTCTGCCCTCCGGCATGACGTGAGAGGGGTGCTGAGGAGAGAGTGGCACGCTGTGAGACTGCTGACGGAGGTGCTGGAGCACACCCTGGACGTGCGCTGGGTCGGCACCTACGAAGCCGCCCGTCCGGATCCTCAGGCCCTGCCCATGCCCGCGGAGGACAATGAGCGAGCGATGGAAGCACTCAAGGCCTTGTTCAACCTCACGCTGTCTGAAGCTGGCGGTGAGGTGAGTGTGTCGTGGTCATGTGGTGAAACGTGACGGCGAAGGCTTGATGGTAGACGTTCCCGACTCACTCTGACTGGTGCAGGGAGGGTTTAGGAGAAGGTCAGGTGTGCATCACTACAAACGTCAGGTGCTCAATTATGGATTAAGCTTTCCAGCACAGCAAAGGTCACACATCTAATCAGCAGAGCAGCCACATCATACCTGTACTCAGGAGTTAGGAAGATGCTCAACCTCTGAGCATAAGAACGTGAACTCAGTCTGTTTAACAGATAAGCTGCACAACGGCTTTGCAGTAGTTGAACTTGATCCTGAATGATCCGAGTGTTTAGAAACTGAAGACATGACTAGATAAGCTGCACCCAGCAACGCTCTCCTCTATTTGTTCTGTAACTACAACGGATCAGCTGCTGTCACCAATAAAACATTTTTCTAACAACCATTCTGACCAGTAGGAAAAACACTAGTATGAACCTGAAACTAGGGCTTAAGGATTTTAAAAGCAATTTTTCTGATAGATTTTGCGATTTGATTTGCAAAATATTTCTTTAAAGGCAAATTTTCTGTCCAATATGTTTAAAACACATGGTGAGTGTTGTTACATGAGACATCTTCACAAATAGGACGGCATGAATTTATTAAACACCACAGTCTAAATTCTACATCAGACGTACTGCAAAACGTACACGACGTGGCTGTTAAACAACAAAAATTATATCATTAGAACCACAGCTACATGCCTGAACCTCACAAACACACGCCTACCACTGAGAAGCATAAACAGACGTGTAGCTTGAATTAAATAATATTGAATTGCAGCTTTAGTGTCATTATTTAACAGCAGCTTTTATGATTTGCTAATTGCATTCTTTCAAAGAGCGATTCTAAAATGGATGAAATGTTCTACTTTGATCGCTAACTTAAGCCGTGACATGTGAAGACACCAAAACCCAAAACTAAAGCAGCTAAATGGAATCCGGCCGTCGTAAATGTCATTATTTTGACCTGCATGTTTCCTACAGTCACTACATGAGAAGGCCGTCTTCATGCCAAAATCGCCGCCCGTATTTTGAAGCTGCTTTTACTCAACACACTACTGTTGTTTAGAAGATACACACACAGGACAAAATCATATTTAATTCAGCTGCTTTTAGAAAACACATCAAGCATAGTTTCTGTTTAATTGTGATAAATGTTGTTCATGATCAAACTTGGCCGTCTTGTCTGAGAAAGTATTTCAAACATATTTCATGCTATTTGGACTGAGAAGACAGAAGACTGCAAAGTCAGCATCTAACGCAGCGTAAGTCCAAATGACACCAGATGTAGTTCTTAGTCTCATCTGCTCTCCTCTTAGACATCCACACTTCCTCAGCCTTCACCTCAGACTCTCTCGCTGCTCCCGTGGCTCTCTAGACTCTTTTTAATGCCTCGTTCCCATTTTTGCGGCTAGGCCTTTCCCTCCAGCCCGCTGTCCTCGTAGCTGAAGTGTTTTACCACCTTATAGGCAAATAAATGTCTGTTGGAGTGATTTTTTTGCACGTGTTTGACTTGCATAGGAGGATGACCACCAGTTCCGACTCATCTCCGCCATCCTGCGCCACCTGTTGATGCTGAAGACTGAGACGGAGGAGAAAACAGAGGAAGCACACAGGTGGGAAGCTGATCCTCCTCACGAGTCATTCTGCACATTAGTGAAAGTGTACAAAAAAGAAAAAGTCCTGTGATGCTTACAGTTTGTGAAGGCGTGTCTTTAGCTCACGTTTCATTTGAATGTGATTTGCATGGAAAAGCACACAGACAAAGTGAAGCCACCACTTTGCAAACTAACTACATCCTTCTGGACGAGGAGCATCCATCACAGATTCATACTACTCCCATAGACAACTCCCATGTTGTCGTAATGCCGCTGCAGCATCTCGTTCTTATGGTAATTAAATGCAAGAATGCCAAGAATTCGCCTGAAATTTAAACAGTGTCATGTAAAAGTGAGTGATGATCCCCGTGACCTGTCAGTTTGACCTACTGACCGACGGAGTTTGTTTGAATAGAGAAGGGCCGTATGAAGGAGAAAGTTGAGTTTTTTAAAATCTCATTCACGACAAATGTTTCCAAATGAAGTCAGTTTTGAGGAGTTTAAGTTCTAACCTCCTTCTCAGCCTCTCTGTAGCGTTTTCAAGGTTCATCCTTCATATGTGCTGCCCGGTAATCAAATAGTTTTCTTTTAAAATTTACTATTTCAAAGGTCCTCTCTTTCCCAAAACTGCCCTCATTCATTTGTCTTTCATGGATTTCTCAGATAGCAGTGATCTAAACTCCTCAACTAACTCATTCAGGGGTAGAATTTAAACACACAGAAGCTCATCCAGGATTAAAGACGAACCGATAAACACTCAGGACTGGATTTCTCCTCTGAATCGGTGATTGTTTGGCTAAAAGCTTAAACAGTCTCACCACAGTCTTTTTCTGTGTCTCATTTATAGCTGGTTCATAAGTACAAGTTCCTAAATATAGATTGAGAACAAGAACTCATTGTGGGCAAAAAAGCTGTTTTCTAAAGCCTTCAGCTATTAATCATCTCTTTACTTGTCAAACCTAATTTCTTAGACTTTGACCCGTTAGATTCTGTCTCCTGATTATGTTTTTTTTTTCTCTTCTATCTCCAGCCATGCTGTCAATCTGCTCAACAACCTGCCCGTGTCCTGCCTGGATGTGCTGATTGATGTACCCGTCCAGGGAGGACAAGAGAAGTATGGCGGCAAGAACATGGATGCGGTCCAGGTGTTGATAGACTTCATGGAGAAAAGAATCGACAAGGTAAAGTTCACAGGCAGGACTCTGATGTCTGATCATTTATTGTGCATCTAAAACTTTGATTTATACAGAGCAGGTGAACCATTGGAAGATACTCTCACCTGTTGTTGACGCTACAAAACCACTTAAACCAAGATGCATCCAAACCTATCCATTCTGGAGCCGACAGTGTTACACATACATTTCAATATTTTGCATTTGTCGTAGATCTGAAACTAGAATAAAGCCGGTCGGTTTGACTTTAGAGAGTTGCGGTGTCAGACCTGTTAGTACGACGAATTCAGCTCCTTATCTACCATCCTTTCTTTACTTCATCATCATTCATATTACCAACATGTGCCACTGGTGGACATCGCTCCAGCGCTGCAGCTTGTGCACAACGTGAAGTGTTTGTGGTTTGTGTCACTCCAAGCAGGGTTCCAACTACAAAGAGGGTCTGACTCCAGTGCTCAGCCTTTTGACCGAAGGATCCAGACACCACCGGGAGATCCGCAGATACATCAAAGCTCAGGTAGAATGGCTGCTGCCATCAGATTTATTTTAAAAGCACGTGGACGTTCTCATGTTTTGTCAGAGTTAATGGCTACGTTAGTGGCTAGGTTTCACATACATAATCATTTATAATGACCAAAACAGTGAGAGGCTATTGGAAATCCTGCTTTTTCAGGTACTTCCTCCACTGAAAGATGTGAAGATCCGGCCAGAGATCGGCACCACCACCAGAAACAAGCTGGTTCGCCTCATGACGCACGTGGACATGGGCGTGAAGCAGACGGCTGCAGAGTTTCTCTTCGTCTTGTGCAAAGAAAGCGGTGAGTGGAGATGTGTTGTAGGGAGGAACGTATGGCACAGCAGCATCTCTGATGTAAAAAAGAGAACGAGAGAGGCAGTGTGATAACTAGAGCCTGGCTCATCCTCACACATCAACGTTTATACGTAGCCTTTGTGTATTTGTGTCTTTCAGTGGACAACCTGTTGAAGTACACCGGGTACGGAAACGCAGCAGGACTCCTTGTGGCTCGAGGACTTCTCGCCGGAGGAAGAGGAGAGACTCAGTACTCCGAAGACGAAGACTCCGACACGGATGAATATAAATCTGCCAAACCTTTGTGAGTTCTCTTCAGGACTCAGATTAGAGCACCGATGATTTACCGCGTCACTGTGTGTATGTTGATAATGAATTTACGGGCGTGCAGCTTTACATAAAGCTTCTTCCTTTGCCTTTCCCAGCATCAACCCCATCACCGGCCACGTGGAGGAGCCGATGCCGAACCCCATTGAAGAGATGACGGAGGAGCAGAAGGAATACGAAGCTCAGAAACTGGTCAATATGTTTGACAAGTTGTCGAGGTAATACACTCAACCGGACGGCAGCAAATGCATCTTTCTTGGCGTTTTCGGTCCCTGTAGGCTGATTTTTCACTGCATTATAAAGTCATGCACCTCGACGGAGACGGCACAAGCATGACTAGAGCAAGACAGAACTCAGAGACGTATTTAGTGCTCTAATGCCACAACGCATAAAAAAGACACAACAAAAGCAGATTTCTTTAAAAGATGGTGACTCTACATACTACATGTAATTTACTATTTACAGTTTTACTTCCTGTCTGCTCTGCATTTTTTTTTTCTTTCTTTCAAATCCACTGGCAGGTTCAGAGGTGTAACAGCAGGAACCCTAGACTAGTGAGGAGATCATCACACAGCTGTATGAGAATATTTTTATTTAAACTGCCAGGCATTCTGTGTGTTAAAAACAAGAAGGGCTGCGTTTGTGTGGGCCTGTTGCGTCCGGTGACAGCATGAAACACAAACCAGGAAGTCTGAGGGGTTTGTTAGAGGAGAAAACGCTCAGTGGTAGTATAAATATAATACAGTTCTTGTAATCTGTCGCCACAACAATCATTTCATCAGAAAGATCAGCAGGTGGGCGCCGCTGTAGCTCACCTGGTTGAGCTGGCGGCCCACGTACAGAGGCTATAATCCACATTCCCCCATTCTTCTCCCCACTTTCCTGTCTCTCTCTCTCTCTCTCTCTCGACTGCACTATCGAATAAAGGCAAAAATGCCCCAAAAAAATTTCAAAAAGAAAGATCAGCAGGTAAGTGTGATATAGAAATGTACTCTAGTAATTTCACGTTCAAGTTTCAGTCAGTTCGTGCAGCTCTGTTGTCTGTCTGAATGCGGTAGTCCGGAGTCAGTGATGTGTTAATGTGACAGGAGGTGTCATCTTTGTCAAATTCAATAGAAAAAAAAAACCTCCTGCACAGACGTAAGATGTCACAGAAGTCTTCAAATAATGAACCGTGTTGGCGTATTTTTTTCCAAAGCCTCAGCTAGCATGATTAACTTTCTCCGTCTGAACAATCGTTGCTCCACCTGCTCACACTATTCATATTATTTACCGTTTCCTCAGCAAAAGGTCTTTCTGTATTTGTGTTGACCTTTCCTCGGCGAGCACCGGCTAACGTTAGTCGGCACAATGCCCGCACAAAGGTAACAGTGAGCTTGCTCCCTGCCAACCGATTCATCATAGGAAGAATCTCTTGCCGTTAGATGCAGCTTCAATTAGGCCCCGGACTTTCAGAACTCCGCAGCATTCAGCCGGAGTAAATGGGGGGAGCTGCCGGCACGCCGCTGCAGCATCATTACCACCGCTCCATTAATTATCACCTAATTGGCACACACAGTCGACTTGCCGGTTCTGGTTCCCTTTATGTACCACATTCAGGTTTTTTTCTTAATAACGGAGTTTATTCTTCTCGTATTGGAGGCGCCAATCACCGGCCCGACCGGGAGTGGGCAGAGACGGAGGCGCAACTAGACAAAGCAATTTGGGTGGAACGTAGATGAAGAGGAAGAGACACGGGTGAATAAATGCGCAGACATAAGAAAGCCGACCTTGTCATTGTTGAGCCAAAGAGGGCGTTGAGCTGTAATGAGGCACGTGCGCCCAGAAGAGGAGGATTCCTTTCCGAGGCCGCGTCCTCTTTCTTCCCCTCCTCAGTGAAGGAGATGCAGCGATGACAGAGAGGTGCTTCCTCAGTTCCGGCTCTAAGGAGATCCATCAGAGCCCTGCAAGAATGTGCTCCCCTAACTGCTTAACCGGTCCTCCAATTAGCACATATTCTGCTCCCCCACCCGCCCCCTTACACCTGCCAGACCCCCAGTCACTCCTGAGGAGGACAGATTTCTTTTTCCTCTAATTAGGATGCTCACGGTTTTGTTTGTTTTGTCGTTCTGTTCCTCTTTGTACCTGCTGACTTTTACCAACGATACGAGGCCGTGGAGTGGAAATGCTTCGTGGCGGGTGTCCTCTGTGAAGAGATGTCAAATCAAAGCCAGAATGTTTTTAGATTTTATTCCCCTCGTCTCTCTTGTAAGGAACCTGTAGTTTCCCCCAAGAACAAATATTACATTTACTTCTGGGACTCAGTAGGAGTTACATGGCCATTTGTGTTCGAATCTGACAAATGAATGCAAATGGGTCTTTTTTTTTTAAATCTTTGATGGATAATTCTCTGATAAATCATCTTAGAGGGAGCGGTGACACACAGTGCAGGTATAATTGGATTAGGGTGAAGGGGCAGTCGTGGCTTTGAGGAGATTAGTCTGAGCACTGATCCTGTAATTAAACTGCCACGGCAAAGGAGGGGAGGAGAGCCGAGAGGATAGACAGGGCCGAGTGTCCACGAGAGGGGGGAAGGGGTTGTTTTGTCCTGTAGGAGAGTGAACACCTACAAGTAAAAGACTGTCAGAGTTGTTTCCATGTGTTTTGTTCCCTTTGAAAATACCCAAGAAGACAGTCGTGTCTATTTAGATGTTTGCAGCTTTCTAATGTCCATCTAGCCGGCGGGTATCTGATGGGTTTTGTCCTCGTGTCTGCAGGCAGAACGTGATCCGACCCATGGGCGTCAGGCCGGACGGGACGTTAGCGCCTCTCGAGGAGACTCTCTGCGATCCGCACGGGGACAACTCAGGATCAGACTCAGACTAGTGCACTGCACTTCGTGGCCACATTTTCCAGACTTAAGCCCAGTGGGGCACCCAACACGTCTCGAGCTGTGTCTCATTCCCAGGGCTGGATCCTCTGACGGGTTCACCGAGGTGGGTTTGTGAAGCTGAGCTGAATCTGTGCCTCCATCCTAACAAGAGACGGTCTGAGTGTAGAGCCGTTTCCTAAAACACTGTAGGTGCTGGATCCAAAGTGATCATCACAATAAAACTGAAATCAAAGCTTAGACATGACAGCTAGCTGTAGGTCACCGTCCACTTATATTTCGTTAACTTTTACTGTCAGACAGTCAAACAATGTCAGATCCAAGTCCAGTGAATGAGCAGAAAGTTGCACTAAATTGGATGAAATAGTAGTAGCTGGAAAACTGATGATGCCTGATGATGATAAATACGCCACGATGAACTGATATTTTACAATCTAATGAGCTGACAGGGACTTAAAAGTGCCATTAGACAGTTGAGCAGTGTGCAGGCGGTTCTGGGATTGAGCGGGCTGCTAAGAAAAATAGCAAAACCATATTGAAATTGGACCGTTTGGATACATTCAAACGAAACCTCCGATGATCCAGTCCTGCAATGGGACACAGCCGAGCATTTCACAGGAGACTCCGGACGCCCCCGTCGCGCCCGCAAGAGCTTCTCCAACGTGGAAGTGGACTTAATGTGTGGCAGGAAGTCGCTGCCGAGGCATCGCGGTGCATTGGAGGCCTTCACGGTTACATCATTTATTTCACTCCCTGAGTTGTGACGATAGAGGTAATAATATAATTTTTTGCTGGATCACGTGTTTCTCACCGGAAACACTGTTGGTTTGTTTCAAGTGTAATTGACTTTGAATGATCATTCCTTCACTTGTGCTTTTTGTTTTTTTCACAGTTTTGTTTTTTCACATTTCTCTTTGTATTGCTAGATGATAAAGTGCACATTATACACACAAATGTAAACATAAAATCATAGCAAACACTGTCAACGGCGAAGCTTCTTCTTGGTTTGAAGTCACGAGGCCTGTCCAGACTGGAGCACAACATAGATTTGTAATTAGAAGAAGAAATGAGGCGCTGTCAGTGTGGATAGATTAACGCTGCAGCTCTCAGTCTGTCTGTATTCGGTCGTGTGATTTACCTGAATGTTGCACACCAGTTAGTCGCCAAGGAAACTTTCTGAATTCAGGGCTTGTTGGTTTTCTGACGCCCACTTTGATGTTTTGGACAAAGAAAAAAAAAAAGCAGCTTCTTTATATTCAGACTTTAAATGCAGATACATCTTCCTGTGGTGGATGATAGTAAACTCAGCCTCTTGTGAACTCTTGACAATGAAATGTGTAAAACTGCAACGATGGTTTTTCTAATCCATATTAATTATTTTTTCCCAAATCTGCATGATGTTAAATCAAGAAATGTGATTTTTTTTTCTTCTTTTTCTAGAAAATGTTGCTGATTTTATATAAGTCCGCATGTTTAGTGTATGTATAAAATAATTTTTTTTCTTTGTGTTGGTACAATTTTAATTTAAAGAGCTGTTCAGAAGTCAGCTGTATGGTCGCACACGACTTCACGACGCCGCTCCCCAACTGAAATCCTGCTTATTGAAACATTTGTTGTAAAGAGAAGAAAAAAAGTGTAATTTAACTGCTGATTACAATCCGAAAAAAAGAATATTGCTTTAACCTGAGAATGTGTGTCGTTATTGCAGGAATGGTGAGAACGGAGTGAATAATCCTGAGCACACACTCCTGCCAGAATAACAGGGTTTAGATGCCACAAAAAGACTTTAGTCAGCATTTTGAGCCACTTACTTGAATGTCATTCAGATGTTTTTTTTCTGCACAGAGAGCCACGAAAAAGTGAGATGACAACTTGTCTGTGTAGATTCTCAGTCATCCAGCTCATGGTTATTCTTATGGATTAATGGTAGCAACTGGACTCGCTTGAGTTCCTTGAACAAAAAAAGAGAAGCTAGATTGATTTTAACTCTTCATCCCGCTCTTCTTCTTCTTCTTCTACTTCTTTGGTCCCATAAGTCGTTTTTATTTTCCTGTTTCTCCTCTTTGCTTTTCCTCTCGTCGCCTCCATCTTTGTTTTCCCTCTTCGACTACCCCTCCGGCCTCCCCCCTCCGAACAGGATCACCCGTACAACAACAGGGACTCTACCTTCAGGAGGAACTTTTTTAAAATTCTGTCTCCTAAAACTCCCAGAATTCACCTTAAAGTTGCAGATGTTTGAGTTTTTTCCAACTCTAAAATGCAAATCAACAGTTCACCTCTCATCCAAGAGGCTTCATCAGAACCAGAACTGATCCTGACTTTTTTGGGTTTTAAGCAGGAGGTGTCAGAAAAGTTACCACAGGGATAACTGGCTTGTGGCGGCCAAGCGTTCATAGCGACGTCGCGTTCTGATCCTTCGATGTCAGCTCTTCCTGTCATTGTGAAGCAGAATTCACCAAGCGTTGGATTGTTCACCCACCAATAGGGAACGTGAGCTGGGATTAGACCGTCATGAGACAGGTTAGTCTTACCCTACTGATGGTGTGTTGTTGCAATCCTGTCCCAGTACGAGAGGAACCTCAGGCCAGACCTGATGAAGCCTCTTGGGTGAGAGGTGAAACGTCTTCAAGGAACTCAAGCAGTTGCTACGATTAATCCACAAGAATAAGATTACAGCTGTTTTAGGTTTGTTTAAAACAGGGGTGTCCAATCCTGGTCCTCGAGGGCCACAGTCCTGCATGTTTTAGATGTTTCCTTCTTCCAACACACCTGATTCAAATGATCAGGATCGTTATCAGGCTTCTGCAGAGCTTGATGATGAGCTGATCATTTGAATCAGGTGTGCTGGAAGAGGGACAAATCTAAAACATGCAGGACTGTGGCCATCGAGGACCAGGATTGCTCACCCCTGGTTTAAAAGGTTCTTGGCCGGAATGATAAACTTTCATTCCGTAGTCATTTTTTGTGTTTCTCTACTTATTTTTTAAGGCTTGTTTTGTGTTCTCCTGTTGTCACCGTTGAATGCATTCACATATTTATCACTTACACCCACCTGGAAGAAATCTATTCTGAAAGTACTTTTGTTCTTTTTGCACTCTTAGATACTGTAAATAGCATCACACTTATTTTCTGCCGTAAGGGTTCTACTGAAAAGCGAATAAACTGAAGAGTGATTGTCGTCTTTAGAAAGTGCAGAAAAGCTGAAAATGACACGATACCTTTATTAAATATTGTTTAAAATACAGTGTTTGTACTGATAGAAAACATTAACAAGATTATTCGCCTCCAACATATAAAAACACCAGAAGGAACATTTACATTTTGTTACAGGGCTCCAACACTTACTAGCCTCCTCAATGGATGTTTCTTTGAACTTGATAAACTTTATGATTTGTACATATGAACACAGCATCAACACAAAACGCTCCGGATGAAGACGAGAGACTCAAAATAACCTGATAAGAGATCCAAAGTGTGCACCATTTACAGAACAGTCTTAGTGTGAACGAGGCAGAGAGGAAACGTCTCAAACCTCCCGGGTTGTGCAGCATCAGTTGGAGGACGCGGAGCTTTTGCTGTCCGTCTCCGAGTCGGTCTCTTCGCCGCCGCTGCTGGCTGCTCTCGGAGCTCCTGGTCTGGACCTGGGTGGTTCCGTCCTGCCTTGAGGCTCCGATGCTGCTCTGCTCTGTGACAGGGGGCTGCTTGCCAACGCCGGGATGCTCTGCAGACAGAAAAAGGTGTTTTAAAACACAGCCCAGATGTAGCTACTTGAGTCTGCAGGTCACCAGAGCTTTTTATTCTGTTTCTCCGTTCCAATTTGATTCAACAGAAGTACCATTGGTTGAATAACCCAAAAAGAAATATGAGGTGTGCCACAAAAGTTCCAGGACTGGTGTCACAAAAGATATATTTCAAACCCAAACTACGCCCCTTCAGATGATCAACCAGCACATCTACAAAGAGATCCTGCTGCGTTCAGAAGAGGTGAGAGTTGTGGCTACTTCAGCGCACCTGCTCACAACACCCTGAGCATCCCACAGTTCCTGGCTGAGAAGAACATCGCCGAACACCTCCCCACTCACCCCACTTGGCTCCACCTGGTTTCCTCTTTCCAAGGCTCAAGGGGGTCATCAAGGGGACCCGTTTAGAAGATGTGAACGACAGCTGTGACGACGGAGCTGCAGAGGAGCCCAGAAGAATCCTTGTAGTTTTGGATTTGAAATATACCTTTTGTGACACCCGTCCTGAAACTTTTCTGACACACCTCAAAATGTGTGAGAGCTTTTCTAAGGCTCAGTGTCTGACATTAGAACCCACCAGTGTTTCCTGACTCCTCATCAGCTCCTCGATCTCGCTGTTCCAGCCGAGCATCTCGGCAAACCTCCGGACCGTGTCCTCCAGGTCGCCCAGCTCCACGTGGTCTCCTCTCCGCAGTGGGACCTTCTGAAAGGGACCCACGGCGTGTCGGTTCAGGAGGAGACGAGGCACAGTGGAGCGCACCGTGTTCACCAGGCTGGCAAACGGCTCGATCTGAAACCAGGAACTTTTGTTTAGATTCACCTGAGAGAATCCTGTTAGTTACATTGCGGTGTGATAAAAACGTCTACCTGTAAAGACGTGCCCATAATGATCAGCAGGTCGGCTTTGGGGAAGTCTTTAGTGTGAAGGAAATACTTCTGAGGGAGGTCCTCTCCAAAAAACACCACATCAGGTTTGACTGTTGCAGCACAGAAGGTGCATATGGGGACGTTGTCGTTCATTATGGCAAACTGCAAAAAGGAAACACAAAAACGTTACCGTGGCATCAAATGCAGGGAACCACTGTGCAGTGACGGACAGCAGACATACCTTGGCCTCCTCAGCTGGGTACGAAGTGTAGCAGAGGTGGCAGGAAGCTGTGGCAAAGCTACCGTGAGCTTCAACCAGTTTGTCATCTGGGATGCCACATACTGAGAAGAAGGTTTTAAAATGTTATGACGGGCAACGAGAGTAAACACATTCATTACAGGAAACAAACTCACATGGTGCTGAAAGTCAGACAGCAGGGAATCAACTGTGATAAGTCATGTTCATGGAAAACTTTGCTCCAAACGATTGTCATTATGGTCTATTCAGCTTGTCTGTGAAATATCAGTGAATAATAGTAAAAAATGTCAACTATAGTTTCCCAGAACTCAACATCCATCCAT